CATAAGTAATATAATATTAAAATATAGTAGTATATATAAAATATATTCATTGACAATGCTCGAAACCAATAAAAAGTTTTACTGATTTTTTTTTTATTTCCTAGATCAAACGAATATCGAACATCAACTAGGTATCAACAACATAATAATATATTATTTATTTAACAATATTACACCCTCCCGTCGAGGTTATTAATTATCAACATTTAACGATTACCACCTCGCTCTCTTCGTGTGTATAATTTTGCGCCACCGCGCCGTAATAATAATATACGTAGTATTATGTATACAAAATGTAATACGTAAATAGTATAAAGTTATGTAAAATTAATTTCACTATTAATTCTCATGGGAACTGTAAAACAAACAACCGGAAAATGATTAACTATAAAGTTCGATGGTATGTATGTCAAAATAATGACGAGTGTGACTCGTATATTATCGTATATAATCATATACGTATTAGTAATTACTGATAAGTTGCCGTTCTGTGTGATTTTTAAAGTTTGTTTGGATCTTAAAAACCCGAAAGTCAAATGTAGACAATTGATTACCCTTTTATCAGATATCAATTTTATCTGATTCAAACTTTAGATGTTTCTATGTTTGTCCATTATTATATGTATTTTTTTTCAGTAATATAGAAACAATTTAATTGTCTTACTAATACTTTTATTGGCTTCCATAAAATACAACGATTTAATTAAATTATAAAATAAATACAACTCCTAATTACATCAAAACAATTAAGCTATCCATTATAGTTAATCTACAGAACTTGGGTCTTTTAAATTATTTTTCAGATTTAATAAAAATAAAATAAAAATGCATTCCTTAGTTTGCACAGGGTTTGCAAAGCAATAAAAATAAAAATCCTCCAGCTAGTTAGTTGTGCTTTGTACATTTGTACATATTTTATACTCATCCTTTTTAGGGCAATTATGTGTGTTCACATTAAAAAGTCCGTTAGTATTTACTGGTTCAACACAAGATGAAGACTGTTATTTCACTTTATGGAATTAAAACGCAAATAAACCAAATTATATAAATACATAAACTGATAATAATATTAACTATATATCAAATATGTATTTACGTTTCTTGACAGGTAAGTAAATGCTTGGCTTTCGTTGCTTATTTTTGCAGGATTATAATAGTGTTATTATAAATATTAATTAGCATAGAATAACTATATGCTAGAATATCTGAGGTCTGATGTAACATATTTGATGATCATTATTCATTATCTTGAAACTATACTATTGCATTAAGTCAAATATTTAAAAAGTAACAATTGATGGTTTATTTGATAATAAGGTTATTTATCGTTAAAAAAACAATTTTACTATGCATAATACACCCTTAAAATATAATATTTTAACTGGAATACCATTCAACAAAAAATGTTCTTATAATCAACCAATAATAACCATAATTGTATTATTATCAATTAAAATTTATTTTGTTGAGTAAAATCGTTATTATTAAACTTAATTTATAAGCATTATGTAAATAAATATTTTATCTACAATTGTAGGATAGGAGAGGTTAGGTTTAATAACTACCGACGTGATTGTTTGTTGTTGTTTTTTCTAAAGTTATTAATTATATAACTAATTATAAATTATAATATAGCTTGTACCCTAATATCATCATTCATCACTTATGTGTTTGAACAAATAGGAACTTCTACGTGAATTTCAATTAAAATAGAAACTGATTAATAATGTAATATATGCATGAATAAATTAATAAATATAATGACTTTAGTCAACACGAAATTTGTGGTGTTCAAATACATTGATAATTAATAAATGCTAACTATATATGAATATATCAGATATAAAATCAAAAAAAATTATGGCTTACGAGTATTTTAGACTGGAGTAACTATATTACATAAACATTATAAACTAATAAGTTATAACACTATAATATATTTATTGCAATATTCAATAAAAAAAAAAATAAAAACATCAAATTCCTCGGCACTTTATTATTTTATATTGCAAATACAATCATTTTGTCCACATCAATAATGTGTATAAAAACGTTTTCTATGAAGTCAAAAAACTAGTGTACATTTGTATATTTATATTTGAGAAGTAATAACGCTTAAGAACAAAATATCAAAGATCTAATACTATTACTATTTTTATTTTTATTTTTCTATCGCGTGCCTTTTAAACGACAATTTAATGAACAAACCACCGACTATTAAAATATATTTAATACGTATAGTAAAAAACAGAACCTTTGCTGCCAAGTCATATATTTTTGATTCGACCGATAAGTAAATAAACGATAATCCGACTTGTAATGCCTTGTTGACGCACTAATGGCTGGCCGGGTGCATGCATTTAATACATACACACACACACACATATGCATTTACTACATACATGTATATATATACATATAATATGAATACATTGTCGCGGAATACACGTTTTAAAATGAACAAAAAAAGTATAAAGTATATACATCAAAAGAGGGAGAGTGATCTTTGAAACGAAAAACCCCCGAAGGGTCCAGTTAATAATTTACCAACCCTTTTCTTTTCAATGGAACCCGTTTTGTTCCGGTTGTTTGTGAAGCCCCAAAACCTATACACGTATAATACACAATACGAATGCAAAAAGTTTTTTTTTGTTTTATTATTATTATTATTTTTATTTTTTTTTTACCCTCACCCGTTCCGTACTCGACGCGGTGGTGCAAATCGGTAATTCGGCCGAAACTTTTGATACCTACTCTATTACCACAAATAGGATCACTGTACTGCAGGGTCTAACGTGTGCTAAGCCAATAAATTATAATACATTATTATACTCGTATAGAAAAATATATTACCTATATATATGTAACATCCTAACAGTATACTAGTATATACGGTAAAACGTAACGTCGGTTAAATAATGGTGTACGTCTGTCGAATCAAAAACTATACATCGTTAATCGTATAATAGTATTAGACAATTTTGCCAACAATGTCCAAACACTATAGCATGTACAATTAATATTTGAGCATACTTATCAAGGCTAAAAACAATATTAACTAAAGCAAAGAAAATATTTTTATAAGTTATTTATTTGAGTATAATAAGTAGTAACACATTTCTGTTAAATGCGGTGTATTATACAAAAACTACTATACTAAGAAATTAATCATCATATTTTCGCTTTATTAGATACGTTTGAAATATTTGTTTTTTGGAGCATATTATTAATAACTGATTCAATGGAAACCATATTGTTAAGATACCGTGATAAAAGGCGTATTTGGTTTTCATATTTACTTTTCAGTTCATTAGTATTATAATAAGTGTTCGTAGTTTTAACAATATCGTAGAAAACAGGAGCCGCCAGGGAAGTGATCCCGAAAACTATACGAACAGCGTAGTATTATCATTATTCATTTACCATTGGTAATTATTTATTTTTGTTACCTGAACAAATACTGAAATACTCCATTGAAACAGTTTCTTTACATGACCACATCCTGGAAGGAAGGCATATTATGTTCATGTAACGGTAATTTTAGACGGATGAGTGTTTTTTTTTCACATCGTAACAATGCCATTCGAGGTAAGTTCACATGGTACAAATAACATATTTTATTGAAAGTATTATAAGCGTAGTAATGTACGTCGCATTTATCATTGCGGGTGAGTAACAAGTTGTGTTATAATTGCTTGGGCATTGACGTGTTGGATATGGACTATAACATTATATTATTAAGCACCTACATATTTGCAAATCATTTTGCCCGGTGCATTCGCGGATGTGCTGGTTTGATAAATTTAATCATTCGAACACAACAGTCAACTTTGAAACGTAAGTAAATATATGTTTGAAAACCTAAGCCCACCTGTCAAGAATATGCCTAGCATAACCTTATAACCATGTATAGGTACCAATCGCGCTATTCAAGTGTGATGTGGTCAAAGGTAACGAACGTGGTCACAAATCGTACTCCGCAAATATGGTCCACGGGTCACGTCTTGTACCTACGATACAGAATTTTTTTCTGGATCACTAACGCCGCTAGGATTCACGACACAAATATAGTTTTTGGTTAAAAAAAAAAAAAAAACGTCATCCGGAACACTTTAATAACGGGCATCGTATAACACGGGCCGTAGAGCTTAAAAACAATGTGTACATTAATAGTATGATAGTAATTAACATCATATTTGAGTGTGCTCGTCCTCATTTAAATTTATGCCCTAATGGACATCGTCATGGCTTCCCGAGCAACACAATTGAATGCGTTTACCAGTGACTTCTATACGTCTACGTTCAAAATTACACAGGTTAAACTGTTGTGCACACATTACACCCATATAGTTGGTGTATCTTCGCGTTTTATTGACGGTACCTATATAATATGACATAGGTATTATGTATAGACGGCCCAGCTGTTTGAAAATATTCGTTACAAAAATAATATTGGGTACTCTTTACCCCGTTACATAATATTATGCTATAATTTGATTTACGGGCTCCTTGCCCCGCGTTCAGAACGCTCTACTCCACTTATTGCTTTTTATTGTATATACAGAGAGCACCAATAATAATCATTTACAATTCGTTACAGACTAAATCACTATCATTTGATTTATCGATTACGCTTCCACGTAAAATAAAAAAAAGTACGTACCTTATGAAAAACATATTTTAACGTTTAACCCTTTCCGATTTTCTTCGGAAAGTGTCAGTACCGCGAATACATCTGCCAAACAGTGGTTTATGTGTCGAAACGAATTTCCGAAAAAAAGTCAGTATAAAATTCGCAAATTCGCGATTTACAAATAAAAGCATCACCGACCTGCAAACGGTCTCTGCAAATATACCCCCACCCCAGAGCGACGGCGATGATGAGGGTGTTGCACTTGTCCAATAGTAAAACGGCTGGTCCGCCCACCCCCGACCGGGTGCCCGTGAGGGTGCGATGATCGAACGTTCCGTGTTTGTGTATAACCAGTCTCTTGGTGACCATGGATCCGAAGAGTTTGTACGGTCTTGACGGTTCCGATTCAGGATTTGAAATGAGCTTCGACTCGGAAAATGAAGCTACGTTTTCGTTGGACGATACTATGGGCTCCGAGGATTTTGCTTCGTCTGTGAGTTTAGCCGACGACGATCTACAAGTAAAACCGAAAAAACGCCGGCAAAGAAGAACGCGAGAACGAAGTCCAATGCAGGTAAGATAGTGTAGTCAAAGTGGCAAAGAAAAATATTATAACAAATTAAGGGGGACCAAATGAAAATACATTCATCGTTCCACTCAGAATCTAAAAAAAATAATTATAAAATATTTACGTTATTTAAATTTGTTTTTGTTCAGCTGATTAAAATAAGAAAACACCGTCGCATGAAGGCAAACGACAGGGAACGAAATCGGATGCATATGTTAAACGAAGCTTTGGACAGACTTCGATGTGTTTTGCCAACATACCCAGATGATGCGAAATTAACAAAAATCGAAACTCTCAGGTTCGCGCACAACTACATTTGGGCACTATCACATACACTACAAGTCGTCGAGACTACCGAACAATCTCCAATAGACCAAGACCAACCCCTAATGCTTACCATGGGTGACGTGACGGTCAGCATAAGCCAACAAGGCAACAAAGTGAGTAAAATATTTTTTTATTTTTAGTTTTTAAATATTATACCAAAAAAAACAAACTAGAAAATTGTAATGATTTTTAATTAAATACAGTAGACATTTTTATCAAGTAAGAGTTTTAAAGTTATACGGAATTGCTTATATTATATCCTTTCAATAAATTTGAAATTGGTTTGCTATTTAATAAATCATAAATAGATTAATTATAATAGTACTTTTTTTGTCTCTGATATGTCCTATTTTGAACGGAAAAAATAATATTAAAAAATAAAAATATTGCTTATTTTTTTTAAAAAATATTTTTTATGTTTTGTTAAAAATATTTTAAGATTGCCACCAACAGAGTTGTTTTGAGAATTCTTATAATGCTTACATTTTTTTTAGAAATGTACGTCGTTTTTAAAAATAAAAACTTAATACTTTTTTTTCGTTCAGTGAAATTGTCACTATATACTATAAAAATCATTACTAAAAAATTACGAGTTACAAAAATTACAAATTTCACAAAACAAAAAAATATTTGAACGCTTGTCGAGTTTGTTATAATGGGAATAAGGGACAGAAATATACTCGGAAATATACAAATAAAAAAAAAATGTAGAAAAACACTTTTCACTTATTATATGTTTTAAAAAACGGTATTAGTTACATTCCACACATCTATTCGCTGTTAATTGTTATCATAATTTATTGGACACTCTTATAAATGGCAACATTTTAAATTTTCAGATCACTTCTTCTACGGGAACGTGTGCTTTAGCACAACAGAAGAAACCGTGCTCGCCGATCCCCGAGCCACTGGCGACTTCTACGCCTATAAAGTCGTCCAAGCCGCACCAACACCCTGCGACGAGCCACTCTTTCAATGATTCTGGTTACTTCGAACCACAACGTCTCGACCACCTCCTTGGTATAACCAGCGAGCACACCGGACATGACCACAGTTACCACCCTGACAGGTGGCTTCAGAAACCTGGTGACGCTCAGCACCATCACCAACACCAGCCGCCACTACCGACCGACAAGACGTGGCCCGAAACGGCATACTGCAATGAATACCAACCTACTTGGCCGCTACAGACCGCGTGGCACAATCACGGACCATTGACGTATCCATCATCGGCTATAGACCAGAGGTGCCATGAACCGATGATGTTCTACTCTTGAGATCGGTGAGAAAAAAACACTGCTTCCGCACTAATACCGGGAGAATTGAACGCCACCCGTCTGACTAGGTTTCTGATCGTCACCATTGCTCACTTATCCTACGACCGCTCGGTGCTTTTATCGTTGGCCTTCCTAGGTGACACGAAAACGCGTACTAGCTATAATTGTAATAATTATCGGGTCTTATTGTATGATGTCCGTTATGTTTGTATATACCTATTATATTATTTTACTTCAGTTCGCGCGAACACTCGTCACCGAGGCGAACGATAACCAATATTATATTTTTGTACCTATATATTATTATTATTATGTAATGAATAAAACAAAATTTACGCATTATATTATTATAACAGTTGTATGTGTATTGCATTTGTCTTCCGATAAATGATGACCGGTTCAATTCTACGGAATAATTACGTGACACCACCCAGCAGAGTACCTACACCCACGCCTGGTCGGTCTGGTATTGTCGCATAGGGTGAGCACAACAGTGGTGGTTAGAGGTGACTGTTTTGTTCCGGTGTAACGCCTCCACGAGAACTTGTAATCCGCCGTCGTAAGCCGATTATCCGGCACAACAAGGACCGACCAGTCACCCGTGCTCGGTGCACCCCCCCGTCGACAATTGGGTTTCTGCTGTCCCGTAAATATTTTTGCGAACCCCGACAGAGTACAACCAGTTCTATACGACTGAATTAAATACACTACCAACCGGTCGAAAAATATATATTTTTAAAATTTTAAAAATAGTATTTTTTTTTTTTTAATAAAGTGGTGAAAAGGTAAATAGAGCTAGGCGTGTAGTTCTTAATTTCTTAAAAATATGGGTTTGAAAACCCTCGATTTAGGATCAGGTCATCACCGTAGTAAAGTTCCGTCACTAATATATCTCTAACCATAAGCGAAACTAGAAAATTGTATTAGGCCTGCAGGCCAAATGATAAATATGAAAAAAAATACAAAATATAAGTTATACATTTTTATAAGTCTGTATGTTATAAAGTCAGTACATTAGGTCAGGCCATGGCCTGACTCATAGTTTTGCCTATGCTTATCATCTCTGGTCGCAGTCCACGGAAGACGTAATAACTGCCTATCGCAGGGTGAGCTACCCCACATCGTACCTATAGCCTATATAGGTACTATTATTTTCATTGACCGGCTGCCAAAGACACGGCAGGTGACGCTGGGTGCACGTGACGGTAATGTAAACCACTAATATAAAATTATATAATTACGTAATTACGTACCATAGTATACACATTGGACGATAAATAGGTAATGTCGAATATTGAGGAACATTTCAGGATTGTGCTGTGGGGGTGATACTTAATTTTTTTGGATATGATGATGTGTACATACTATAAACATCGTGCAAAATATACAAATGTTGTTGTCTTATGCACTTGAATCGTCCCCACAAACGTGATGTCGTCCTTATACAGATGTACGTACTTATGTTTGTATACATCTATATTTATTATTATTATGTTATGAACTTACGTGTGAAAGAGTGTAGACCACCACCGGTTCAGATTCCAAATCCTACCCAAATTCTATGCATAATAATGTACCATATTATGTAAAATATGTACCTAACGAGATGTATCCATCTATATTTTTGTGAGTAATTTCAATGATATTTTTACAATTTTAATAAATTCGTGTCTCGTTCATCGATCGTTTTTTTTTTGAATTCAAGCGGGTTTGTTTCTCTTCATAATTTTTTTTAAGTTTCGTTTTTCTCCTTCTCCATAATACTATTAAACTATACTTGTATTATTTTTACCATCAGAACAATTATAAATTAAGTGTAATAGTAGATGCAACCTTTTATTTTTAGATAAATTACAAAAATATACCACAAATATAATAAGTTCTAACAGCTATATGTAAAGACATTTGAACTTGCAATTCAAAATCTAAGACAACGATAGCGCATCTATATATTAACAATAGAACATTTAAGATTCGCATTTTGTGAAGAGGAAATAATATGTTGCACAGTACCTATACTGATGTATATTAAATTATTAACCCGTAAAGATTTTTATCACTATACACTTAGCAAAATGTATTAATATTAGTACAATAATTAATACCAAAGACTGCAGATAAGTTGATACTTTTACACGTGTTAAATAAAAATAATAAATTAAGTCAAAGCAAAAAGTTAATTCAATGTTTCGAAGACTTCGGTTAAACTAATCTTGAAAGATGTATTTAAATAATAGCCTATTTTCAATTAAAATAAATTTTTTTTATTTGATAGAGGAATATTAAGAAAACAATGTAATTAGATGCCTATATTTATATGCCTAATGTTACTTTTAAAATGCATTATAGTGATATTTACCTACCTATATGTAACTTGGAAAAAATTAAAGTGTGTTGATTTATCTCTTTGATGAGGTAACTAAGATTCGCGATAAAATTAGCTAAATTACAAAATATTATAACATAATATAATAATTTTTGCACAAAAATACATTGAAATCCAATTATCTTAAAATTATTAATATTACCTAGGCGTGTTATTTTGTAATATAACCATGTGTAGGAAATATGAATTCAATTCGTTATTTGTAAAAATAAATACTAGTTACTTAAATGTTAAAAAGCTATACTTATTCTATACTGGATAAATAAATCAGAAACAAGTAGGTCACATATTTTTTTTTTTTTTAATGCCTTATAACTTAACATAATATTATTGCGACTTTTAATACCTTATTAACATCGAATATAATATAAATAGGTGTATCACATTACAATGTATATCGTAACTAAATATAATACTTAATTCAAGCCCGTGACTGAAAAAATATTTGAGGGTTAAAAATTTTTTTAATATGAAATATGGTCATATGGATACTGCACATTTATCATTTTTACGTCCAAAGTATAACTATACTCTTTATGCTCGTTATTACTACTTTAACGAAAATATAAAATTATTCTTAATACAATAGCTGGCAATAATAGGTAATAAACAATATTCTCAGCTAAAATTGCTCTACTGGACCCCTAGACCCCCCCACAGTAAAGGCCTTGCTTCTTATTATCTTAAATAAAAAAAATATATATAGGTACAACAATTCCTTCATAATAACTTATGTGGAACCTTGGGTTTAGTTTTCAAACTTTTTAAATTGGAAAAAAAATAAATAAAATGCTTAATGTTTATAAATTACAACTCTAAAAAGCCAAAATATTTTATCATATCTATAAGATACTATCATAAATATTTGGTAAAAATGTCAAGTATCTCCAGTTGATCTCAGACACACAAAAAATACACTCATAGTTGTTAATCCAATACATTCATCGCATCATAAATTAGTTAAATTAAAATATATAAAAAAATAAGCGAAAGTAACTCAGTAAGTTTAAAAGTTTCATCTAATCTGATATTCATCAACTTTTTAAATAATTATATGTATACATAAAATGTGTCTAAACATTTTTAACAAACAGATGTTTGATATCAATTTAAATAATACATATTATTTTGTGGTGTTATATTCCACACTATTTTATGACCATAATATATTATTCCAAACCAGTTTAAGGTAATAAGGTCACATGTTGTTAAATATGCTATTATTTTGGAAATAAACAATTCCGTATCGTATTTTTCTGCTAAATTTCAAATACCTTAAGAGATTACTGGTTTTGAATGCACGCAATAATAATAATAGACGACCGTTACCATACCTATTCATCTCGTTATATTTTTTTTTCGACACGATAGATATGTGTTTATTGTAAAAATCTACTTCCGATCACGATTTATGTTAACTTACTTATAACCTAACAAATAACCGTTACCACTTACCGCAATAAAAATAATAGACATTCATCATATTCAAATCATCGAATATTCAACTCGAAACAGTTGCCCGATATTTGAAGATAATAGACTGACATAAATATTATTATGATTGTGCGTTGGGATGCACTATCGGTTGTGCTTAACAGCAAATACATTATAAAGATAAAAAAAAACCTCTAAATCATTGATTGTATTTTATGAATCCATATATAATTTAAATTACATTTTTAAATACATAATATAAATTATATATTATAGGATAATATATTAATAAAATATTATAAATATTAAAGTCGATAGCTAAACTAGAAATTATCTATATATAGTAATAAAGGCTAAAAAAAAACAAACTAACAATAATAAAAGTACAAATAATGGTGTTCTAAATTTCAGATGTCGATGACGGTGGCAATGTGAACATACTCTACAGTAAACACAAACGTTTTAAATCAAAACAAATGTTGAAAATAGTTTAAAAATTTTTTGTAATCTCGAACCTGTGCTAAAATAATATCTATAGAAAAAATCGTTGATAGAAAAATGAAGAAAATAAACGGTTTACGAAAAGTTATGGATTTCTGGTTTTTCGAGCCTTTAAATATTTTTATATCTGATGCATTTTTGTTGAAATATGGTTAATATTTTGTGTTTGAATATTTTTCTTTCCGGATGTTTATTTTTTAGATATTTTTTCGGTTACCCTTGCAGTCCTCGAGACACGTGCCTGACATGCATTATTTTTTAGTATTCCTATTTGTACAACGTGGATAATATTATATTATTATTATGCATTGTAAATGTGTGCGTGCGCGCGTGCGTATTGTGAGTATAATATTATCACATCGACAATGTGCAAGCTGCTCTTCTCTCGATCACTCACGAGCTGTATCATCGTCGTGGATATTAAATACACATTACATATATAGGCTATATATCCATATATATATATAGTGTACACCGCCTTCGCAGGTATACGCGACATAGGACACAATATGCGAAATAATTTTATATATATACAAAAATAATAATAATACGAGCGCTCAAGGAAATGTACACGGAAACCGCGTTTAGGAATGGGACACGGCAGTATTATTATTATTATTATTATTGTTCACGGTATCGCGTTTATCTGCGACGTGATCTGCCGGGCAAACATGTGATC